TTGTGGGACACTCTTGTAGGAAACTCTTGTGGGACACTCTTGTAGGAAACTCTTGTGCGACACTATTATAGGACACTCTTGTGGGACACTCTTGTGGGACACTCATACGGGACATTCTTGTGGGACACTCTTGTAGGACACTCTTGTGGGACACTCTTATAGGACACTCTTGCGGGACACTCTTGTAGGAAACTCTTGTGGGATACTGTTGTAGGACACTCTTGTGGGTCACACTTGTAGGACACTCTTGCGGGACACTCTTACAGGACACTCTTGTGGGACACGCTTACGGGACGCTCTTGTAGGACACTCTTGTGGGACACTCTTATAGGGCTCTCTTGTGGGTCACTCTTACGGGACACTCTTGTCGGACACTCTTGTGGGACACTCTTGCAGGCCACTGTTGCGGGACACTCTTGTGGGTCGCTTGCAGGACACTCTTGCGGGACACTCTTGCGGGACACTCTTGTAGGACACTCTTGTGGGACACTCTTGTAGAAAATCTTGTGGGACACTCTTGTAGGAAACTCTTGTGGGACACTCTTGTAGGACACTCTTGTGGGACACTCTTGTGGGACACTCTTATAGGACACTCTTGTGGGACACTCTTGTGGGGCACTCATACGGGACACCCTTGTGGGACACTCTTGTAGGACACTCTTGTGGGATGAGTGAGAGTGAGTGTGGGTGAGAGTGGGTGTGAGTGTGAGTGAGAGTGAGTGTGAGTATGAGTGAGACTGAAGGTGAGTGTGAGCGCGTGTGGGTGAGTGTGAGAGTGAGTGTGGGAGAGTGAGTGAGTGTGAGAATGAGGGCGAGAGTGAGAGTGAGAGTGAGAGTGAGAGTGAGTGAATGAGAGTGAGTGTGAGTGTGAGCGTGAGTGAGTGAGAGTGAAGGTGGGCGCGAGTGAGTGTGGGAGAGAGTGAGTGAGTGTGAGTGTGAGTGCGAGTGAGAGTGAGTGTGGGTGATGGTAGGACACTCTTGTGGAACACTCTAACAGGACACTCTTGTGGGACACTCTTAAGGGACACTCTTGTGAGACAGTGAGACACTCTTGTGGGACACGGTTGCGGGACACTCTTGTGGGACTCTTGTGGGACTCTATCTCGGACACTCTTGTAGGACACTCTTGTGGGTCACTCGGGGCACCACAAATCATCCCGCTCACCAGCGACACGCTGCGCGTACGCCAGCATGTTTCGCGCTCCCCAGTGGCACACCGCCACGCAAACGCACTTTCCACCAAGGCCGCGCTAATCCTAATGGCACTGCGACATCACGAACGTCGCGTCGCCACACGGCCTGTCCAGACACTAGAAGCAAACATGTCACACGATACCACAAATCATCCCGCTCACCAGCGACGTGCCGCGTTTACGCCAGCCTTTTCGCGCTCCCCAGTGGCACGGCGCCACGCAAACACACTTCCCACCCAGGCTGCGCAAATCCCAATGGCACTGCAACATCACGAACGGCGTGTCGCCGCACGGTCTGCCCACACCGAAGCAAACATATCACAGATACCAATCATCCCGCTCACCAGCGGCCGCGTCTACGCCAGCATGTTTCGCGCTTCCCAGTGGCACGGCGCCACGCAAACGCACTCTCCACCAAGGCCGCGCGAACCCCAATGGCACTGCAACATCCCGAACGTAGTTTCGCCACACGGTCTGCCCATACACTAGAAGCTGGGACACTCTTGCGGGACACTCTTGTAAGACACTCTTGTAGGACACTCTTGTGGGACACTCTTGTGGGACACTCTTGTAGGAAACTCTTGTGGGGCACTCTTATAGGACACTGTTGTGGGACACTCTTGTGGGACACTCATACGGGACACTCTTGTGGAACACTCTTGTAGGACACTCTTGTGGGACACTCTCGTGGGACACTCTTGCGGGACACTCTTGTAGGAAACTCTTGTGGGATACTCTTGTAGGACACTCTTGCGGGACAGTCTTGTGGGACACTCTTGTAGGAAACTCTTATGGGACACTCTTGTAGGACACTCTTGTGGGACACTCTTGCGGGACACTCTTGTAGGACACTCTTGTAGGACACTCTTGCGGGAGGCTCTTCTAGGACACTCTTGTAGGAAACTCTGTCTGGGACACTCTTGTAGGACACTCTTGCGGGTCACTCTTAGGCACTCTTGTGGGACACTCTTGATACCACAAATCATCCCGCTCACCAGCGACGCGCCGCGTTTACGCCGCCGCGCAAATCCCAATGGCACTGCGACATCACGAACGTCGCGTCGCCACACCGTCTGCCCAGACACTAGAAGCAAACATGTCACATGACACCACAAATCATCCCGCTCACCAGCGACACGCCGCGTTTACGCCAGCCTGTTTCGCGCTCCCCAGTGGCACGCCGCCACGCAAACACACTTCCCACCCAGGCCGCGCAAATCCCAATGGCACTGCAACATCACGAACGTCGTGTCGCCACAGCCACACGGTCTGCCCACACACTTGAAGCAAACATATCAGTGGTATCATGTGACATGTCTAGTGCCTGGGCAGACCGTGTGGCGACGAGACGTTCGTGATGCCGCAGCGCCATTGGGATTTGCGCGGCCTTGGTGGAAAGTGCGTTTGCGTGGCGCCACTGGGGAGCGCGAAACATGCTGGCGTAAACGCGGCGTGTCGCTGGTGAGCGGGATGATTTGTGGTATCAAACCATCCCGCTCACCAGCGACGCACCGCGTTTACACCAGTGTGTTTCGCGCCGCGCACATGCCAATGGCACTGCGACATCACGAACGTCGCGTCGCCACACGGTCTGCCCACACACTAGAAGCAGTCACGCGAGCGTTTCGTACGAGACTTCCTCTAAAAGTCACGCTTCGAGGCCGCAAGACGAGCGTTTCGTACGAGACTTCCTCCGAAAGTCACGCGTCAAGTCTCCAAAACGAGCGTTTCGTACGAGACTTCCTCCAAAAGTCACACGTCAGGTCTCCAAAACGAGCGTTTCGTACGAGACTTCCTCAAAAAGTCACGCGTCAAGTCTCCAAAACGAGCGTTTCGTACAAGACTTCCTCAAAAACTCACATGACGCAGCCCTGCCAAGCAGTTTCGCGAGTCCAGCCCCTCCAAACAACACCCGCTCACACGCCAATCCCAATGTGACAGCGACATTCACCTCTACCACAACTCACAACCTTACGATTCCCTGCGCCTGCCACGAATCTTTCCGCGTCCACACGTCTAACGCGCACAAAGTACTGCGCCTGCCACGAAATGTCACCTCCGTCACACCTCGCAACCTCACGATTTCCTGCGCCTGCCACGAAAATCACACTTCCACACCTCAAAACCCGCACAAAGTACCGCGCCTGCCACGAAAAGTGACAATATCATCTCATGTGAGCTTCAACAAATATTGCACCACACCACACGTTTGGAATGATTTCGACCCGTCCTGAGCACACTCCCATCCACCAAAATCGCCATTTCAGCTGAGACTTGTCACGGAAAGAGAGCTTCGACGCAACACCCTGAAACGCAAACCCCAATGGCACGGACACGTCCAACACCCCAAAAGGCGCAGTGAACTCAACCTCCACACTTCAACATCTTACAATTTGCACATGTTTCCACGCTATTTGACACGAATCTGTCACGTCACGTTTTCATCCGAAACCCTCTCCAAAAGCTTCCCCCAATGGCAGCGGCCTTAGCGCCCTACTGCGAACGGTTGCGAACGGTTGCGGACGGTTGCGGACGCAGAGACAACTCGTCGCGAACAAGGCTCTACCCCCAGACCCCCAGAGTTAAACGAGAACCCTTCGCTACGCATTCGGGAACAGCAGACAGTTGCAGGGCGGTGCACCAGCCGTTTTTCCCGTGGTCTTGGAGCGGGGTGCCTATCTTAGTTCACATTCAACTACCCCACGTCAAAGTTGAAGACATGTCATGATTTGGTCTCGTGCCAAATGTGGTTTGAAGCTTGTTACCTGTCCATTCAAATGTCTTTCGTTCTCTCCATGTCTAAGTTCATGTTCGTTGCAACTGACTTGATCGTGGTCAATTCCCAGGCCATTCTCGCGCTATGAGGGGCCTGTGAGACATGTGCAGTGGAGCAGGTTGTTTCAACGCTGGAGCGCAAAGACCCAACAGCACTTGTTCCGAAATCAGCTTGGTGTTGTTCATGCCTTGTTCATGGATATCATGTTGCGGCCCATGTTGCATTCAAACGGGAGTATGATGTACGCATATAATTACCAAGCATGAAGGTGAAGGGTATATCGTCTGCTTACTGTTTTAGCATCTCGTGGACTAGGAGAACACGACATTGTCTTGTCAATACATATCACATATCTAGTACACACAGTCGTACGCATCCGTGCACATACCTACAAATCGTATTCAAGTGTTAGTCAGTTCAAAAGGTCTGGCGTTTCCTTCCACCGTGATTTAAACTCCTGTCACTGTCATGCCTTCACCTACATTATTCCAAGAACACCGCAAGACTGCGCGCTTCCACACTGCAAGTCGTACAAAGACAAAGCAATGGTCTTTTGCTCTATGAGTTTGACAAGGTGCTATTGCAACTCACCTTCCAATCTAAATGCACCCCGAAAGGCTTCATGCTCATTCCAACTGCCAAATCTTATTAGCTTTCCTTTGCCGACTCAACCTGCCAAGCCCATTGATCTGCTGCAAAGTGGCACGTTGAAATCCAAACCTATGCAGAGCTGGCAGCACATTGTTGGTCAACAAAGCAGGCTGAGAAAAAGAAGTGAAAACGGATTCCCTCTATGATACATGGCCAAGCCACATTGAGTAGTAGATCAAGAAGGGTAAGGTTGGTGCATGCTGCGATGAGTAGGATGTTGCGGACGCAATCCAAGTCATGATTGCGCCGCCTTCACCTCAGAGGGTTGACGCCATGTTAACAGTCTTGTAGAAGGGTCTTTGTGGAAGTAGATCTATAAGGCAGCTAAGGTCCTGTCTGATGCCTTCTTGCAGAATCTGTCCATTAGGCGCTTCTGCATATTTCATTACCTTCGTGGTGTCTTCCACATGTCCGTATGAGTATGTCAATGACCTTGCTTGGGACAATCTGCGTCTTGCCTGATCTGCATCGACAGGAGTGTAGTTCTGTCCAAAGGGTGCATGTATCTTGAAGATCGGAAAGAAGGCGTCAATCCCAAAGGTTCTGGACCTCGGCGGCTCAAAGTAGAGTGAACCCAAAGTGTAGCAGCTTATTGTTGAAGGCTGTCGTTTCTAGAAGTACCCATCCTGAGAGCATTGAACGGAAAGCTTGTTTATGAATCCTAGCTGCGGCTGAACCAAAACACTTGGCAATTAGAGCCAAAACTTGAATGTGTTGATCTTGATTAACCTTGATCAATAACACCTCTTAGCCTCTTAGCACAGAACTCATCAGTGACCATCAGCGTCACTCGCTGTCCAAACTCGCCAGCCTTGCGGAACACATGATGGTGGCAGAGATTGGATGAAAACGGTCAAGTTTGTGTGGGAAAGAAGAAAACCAAGCCGCAAGCCTGCATCATTTTCCGAAGGATTTGAGCAAAGCACATGGTTGTGCTTATCTCTCTTCCTTTGCTGCCTGTAGCTTGAGAAGGTGACAAAAGGCACAATACCAAAAAATGACTTTTCAGATAAACCACTCGTGCGTTGCTCCAACTCACGCGAAGGCATCCCATCCACATCCCATCCTAGCCTTCGTCAAACATATTGTAGGTCGTCTCGTGTGTGGGGAGTTCCACCAAAGAAGAGACCTGAACGCAATTGGCATTGGCATTCAGATCACTGATCCCAGAGCCATAGCCTTGGCTGGAGAACGAAGTGGAAGGAAACCTCCCAGTTCTTGACGTCGTTGCTTGAGGTACGTCACCTTCAATCTTCAGCACAAAGCCCAGGTTCAGCTTAAGCACTCCATTCAAGCATCGCAGTGAGCCTCTGGTGAGTCCTCCTTGAGTGCAAAAAAGTTTTGGGCCTCGGTTCGGGTTAAGAAGTAGCAAAGGATTCTGAAGGATAGGAAGTGGCAAAGCTTTGTGCCCTGCATCTGCTGCCTTTAGCTGCTCATCTGTGAGGGGGATGCCCATGGCATCACCTAGGAAAGTCTAAACTTCTCGAGCGCAGCAAGTGATTCAAAGAAACAACCAATGAAGGCAGGAAAGTGCGCCATATGCGCGTGGTATGCCCTTGGTATGCCTGTTGCTCGTTGAAGTAAGGATCTGGCGGTATTTCTGCCTGCAGTTCCATCCAAGAGGAAACATGGATGACATGATCCAGGCTGAAAGGTTGACTGAATATAATCCGAATATACGGACTGCGTCGAAGGGAATCAGCCGAGGCTCATGTCAGAGTCCGACATCATCTTCTTCTGATGCACGGTATTTCGACCAAGGAAGGTTTGTAGGCTGTAACCCTTGGCGGCAAGAAATCAAGACCATTCAATGTGTCACAAAATGCAAAGCAAACGCAGCTCTGGCTGCTGCAAACAGGTATATAATGTAACCTTGTAACATGTTGAAAATATGTATATGATGTTGGTAGTGCATATAAACAATACAGCATGATTGACATCATAGAAAAGTGACAGTATAGAAAATAATGTCATTTTGTGCTTCGATTGTGTTCATACAAGATTGTGCATACATTGGGTAGAACATGGTAGAACAACAGACTCGGGCATTGATACGTTGACGGCACAGTGAAAAAGAACCAAGCGACTTGCTTCTCACACTCATGAGATCTGCTATGGATATGTGCAGGGACCGTTGCGTTGACATCCAGCACGAACCGGTGCAATTCTCTTCCCTTTTGCTACCAGGGATGGACAGAGCATGCTTCTCCCAACATGATTCAGAATCACAGTGAGTGGGCACGAGTCAGTCATAAGAAACACATCAATGTGGTGTGACTGACTCGTGCCAGCGAGAGGACCGAACAGACAGGCTTGTCTCCAGGACCGGGGGCAGATCAGCAAAGACCAAGCTGAAGAACCACGGCACAAGGGTGGAACGCAGAACCACATATGGGGAAGCAACCTGGACTGAAGCGCAGCATTGTCTGACAAGCGAAAAATAGTCACTCTGTCATCATGAGCCCACAATCCAAAGGCAAGAGGGCACGTTTCAGGATGCCTGCGGAATCAGAGGCCTACCAGTACCCGATGCCTGAGTCTAAATGGCCTTTGAACATCACCACATCAGATTTTGGAGAGAGACAATGGACAATTCTGGACGGCAGCAAGGGAGGAGCGAGAAACGGAATGTGCAGAGGGAATACCCGGACACCGCGGATGCCGTGCAACAAGCTTCAGAAACGCGGACACCGCGGATGCCCCACCTTGAGCGTCTTCACCAGGATCACCTGGAGGCACTTTGGCTTGGTGGGATGAATGTTCTGTTGCTGCATTCCAAGTCCAAGCGCTGCCAAGCTGCTGTTGGACGGCCTCCCATTTCCGCATTCTTCTCAGCCTCACGAGAATACGCAGTTCAGATTCTGTAAGCACTCGCTTGCTCAGACTGGAAGGCCTGAGAAAAGGCGGCATAGATCTTCTTGTGATCATGGCCTCCAGGAGTCTGGAAAGCCTGCCAAAGTAGTGCAAAAGTGAAGACAAAGCACGCGTCCAAGTCAATGTCCAAAACACAAAGAGAAAATTCTCATGAATTTGATAAACTCCAAAACAGATGTGCACAGCATCAGCTGCCCTTCAGCCTGTCGTTCACTTAGACTGTTCATCTTAGGGGAGCTGACCAGGGTCACCCAACCGGATCGGTCGTCTGACCAAGGTGGCTCGTGTTCCTTTTTGCGTCACCCATTTTTCGCTGGTGGGAGGGGATCAGGTGGCATGGGCTACTGTATCTCGGCTGCATCAACGTATGAGTCCTCGTAGCCGTAGAAACCTCCATGCGCCTCCAAGAGCTCGTCGTCACTCCAATGAGCAACCCGATCCAGAAGGCCATGTTTCTCAAAGATGTCCTGACAAAAATAACAAAAAACTTGAGAAAAGTCCGATTTGTTCTGCGCATCCTGGATAACTTCTTGCGTACAATAAAAGAATCACAACAAACTCTGGTGTGGAACTCTGGAGTCGCACTGTCATTTCAAGTGTTCAAAATTGTTTGACCGGCGGAGCAGAGCTGTGTGGATGCCTTCCGGATGAGGGCACCATCTGCCTTCATTGGTGAACAACCAGCAAACAGTGGAAGTGGTAAGTAGGACAAACAGGCGTTGTTCCATCATGTGAAGTGACCAATTTCTTCAAAACAAAGTACTTCACGAAATCCAAGTTGAAAGTTCCGAGACCTACTAGCGAGTTTTGATTTGGCACAACGAGACCTGCGAGTTTGCCTTGGCATGCCTTGACGGACAAAGTGCCATGCCTTGGCATGGAGTCGTTGGCAATCACCATCCACTGTATTCTCCAAAGCCTTGCACGTACCAGCGTGTTTGATGTGCTAGTGGCTGCTAGCGGAGTCCAACCAAAAGGACTCAAGTTACTGTTCATCTGTACATGCCTCGATCAGCTTGCCATCATGATCCTGCTCTATAAGCTCATTGAATTTGCCACCCCAAATCAGCTTGATGACATCAAAGCCAGCACCACGGAAGGTTCCTTCGTACTCTTGCATCACCTTGGAGTTGCCACGCACGGGCCCATCCAGGCGTTGGTAGTTGCAATTCACGATGAAGATCATGTTGTTCAGTCGCTCGCGCCCGGCCACGGAAATGGCGGTGATGGACTCGGGCTCGTCCATCTCACCATCGCCCACAAAGGCCCAAACGCGGCTCTTGGAGGTGTCGGTCAAGCCCCGCAAGTGCAAGTAGCGAAAGAAACGAGCTTGATAGACAGCACCTGTGTCAAAGGTATGCGTGCTTTCTTGTGTCCAACATTCGTATCATTTGCATGACTGCAGAGAATTATCACAAGTCTAAATGCACGGTTCGTCCAAAAAAATGTGGGTTTGATTCAGAAACAGTCCAAATAAGGAAAGAGCCCAAAGGACTAGACCATGCAAAACGGAAAGCGGAAGAGTGATGTGCGGTCAAGTTCAGTCGCACCTAGAGGTCCCAGGCCCATGGAGACTGTGGGATTCTCCCAGAACTTGGGCATCAAGCGAGGATGAGGATAACTGGAAACACCTTTGCCAGCAGATTCCCGTCGAAAGTTCATGAGTTCATCTATGCCGAGCCGACCTTCCACGAAGGCTCTGGAATAGGCTCCAGGGGCTGCATGACCCTGCATCCAGACACTATCACCTCGACCGTTGCCAAAGTCCTTACCGCGAAAGAAGTGATTCATTCCCACCTCAATGACATCACAAATGGATGCGAAGGTGCCAATGTGACCTCCAACACCACCACCACGTCGGTTTCCATCACTGACCATGACCGCTGCATTCCATCGAATGATGTTGGACAAACGCTCCTCCATGCTACGGTCACCGGGGTAGTCCGGCTCTCCAGAGGTGGGGATGGTGTTCACCATTGGTGTGATCACTGGCTGAGGAATGTGCACTCCAAGTCGTGCAGCCTCTTCCATCAGGTCATGCAACAAGAACCGGGCGCGTGTTGGGCCCAGCTTTGCCACAACAGCATCCAGAGACTCAAGCCACTCTTCAGTCTCAGACTCATCAAAACGCGGCCGAGCTGCTTTGATTTGCTGGTGGTTCGAAGGAAAGTGTCCAGTATGCTGATGCATGAAGGCTAGTGAAGCTGAGAATGAAGGCATCTCACCTTGCAAACCTTTGGCAAATTCACCATATGTGATGATGCCTGAGTTGTCCAGGTCGAAATGTGCAAACAGAGACTCACTCTCCGAGTCGTTGAGCTTCAAGCCCACACTGGCCATCGTCTCTCGAAACTCCTCAGGATCCAATCCTTTGGACACATTTTGGTCGGCCTTCGCAAACCACGTGGCGGAAAGGGATGATAGAGTGGTCACGCCTTCTTTGGCAAAGATTGAGCTGAGCTCTGTGAGAAGATCATGGGGCGAACGTGTTCCCACGTTTGAAATCCCAACCCCTGAGGGAATGCCACCATGTCGCCAATGCAAGGCACCTCTCGTACATGGCGGCAGCGCACGCAGCGCCCGAAGACCACGGCCACGGAAAGCGGCCAACATCTGCGCGCTGGAGCAGCGCAGTTCTTGAGCCAAAGGCTAGGTTTAGAATGCCACATTCGATGATGCACATCAGATCTGATAGCACTGGTTAATACACAAGAACTGATGCTGTTCAATATGCACCGCAAAGCATTCAAATCTGTTGGGTGCGTTTGTGCGTGCCATGCTTGATTCCAACTTCTTGCCACTTTTGCTGTCACTGACAACTGCTGAGGGTAAAGTGCATCAGCAGCTGCAACGCCGGCCACATATCCACTAGACCAGCAGCCTTGAAAGTTAAATCCTCCTGTGATTCCATCAACATCAACGGCCTCTCCTGCAAAATGAACCCCGGGACAGGTCTTTGACTCCATTCTGTTCCAATCCAAGCCTTCTGACCAGCTCACACCACCAGCAGTAACAAATTCCTCCTTGTTCAAACGGCGGCCATCGACAGCAATTTGATAGCAGGTCACCTGCGTAAACATTGCTCTTGCAAGAACTTCTGCTGCTTCTGAACTTCTAAAGAGCTTCCAAGGCCACTGAGTCAAAGGCATCTTAGTTGACGCACATGTTTTACCACGTCTGAAGAGTGACAGCTGTCCAAAATGATTTGTCAGCTCACCCTGAGAATCTGCATCTCGTAGAAGTTGTTGCCACAGGCGGGCAGGAAGTACACCAGGCCATGGTGATACGTCACCCACAGCCTTTCTGCGCACTGGAGGTTGATTCACTCGACCCCCAGGGACATCCATGATTGATTGTGCCATGTCTTTCTGAGTCAAGTGGGGAGCCCAATCAACATTCAAGACTGCCTTGTAATCTAGTTCCTGGAAAGCATATGCGGCCCATGCAGACAGCCGAAGGATTGCTGGACCTGAGATTCCACCATGTGTTATGAGAACAGCTCCTCGAGAGTCAGCGTGGTCGAGGACCTGCACTCGAGCATCTGGCACGGACAGTCCCTCCATACCTTGAAACTTCGGTGCTGTGGTTCTTGCGAATTGTAAAGAAAACAGGGACGGTGCCACTGGGCAAATCGTGGCGCCTGCATCTTGAAGCAATGCTTGGGCAGAGCGCTTCTGGGCAGATCCAGTGCAAATAAGAAGCCTCTTACACTCAATCTCGCTCGCACTCTGTGCGCCTTCCACAGTCACACCAAATCCAACAGGAGTTTGCCTCAATGTGAGGACCTTGGCATTTTCTAACACCTTTATACCTAGTGAACGAGCTGTTGACAAGAAGCAGTCAACTATGCTCTTGGATGTGTTGGACAATGGAAAGACTCTCCCATCTGCTTCTGTCTTCAATTTCACACCCTTGCTTTCAAACCACTGCATGGAATCTATTGCTCCATGCTTGACTCTCAAATGCTCCATGAGTTGAGCGCCTCTAGGATAGTTTTCCTTGAAAGAAGCACCACTTCGGTGCAAAACATTGCATCTTCCTCCACCAGATATGCTGACCTTGTGCAGCAGCTTGTTTGACTTTTCCAATATCAAAATGTCTGACTGATATCCATTGCACACAGCTCTTTCTGCACATGCAATCGCTGCGTAAAACCCAGATGCCCCACCACCAATCACACACACATCTGCAGCTATGGGTAGCTTCTGAACCAGCATGTGCTGTTCCTGAACCTGCACCGGGCTAGCTGCGGCATCTGCAGTGCTGTTCCTGTCTGCTTAATCACGGTTTTCAGGTCTCATGGAGCCTTGACTCTGGGAAACCGAAACTGACCGGATGGAATTGAAAAGGTCCAAGTCCTCCCCTTTTATGGAAACGATGTGTAGGGTTTCTAGGTAACGATGTTGCATCTGAGTGTACTGTAGTGGTCAATTTGAGCCAGCGTTGGAAAAAGAATTGATGCGGCTAGAAACATTTGACGAGTGAAATTCACCAATAAAACTGTGCCAGGACAGCCGTTGCACTTCGTTACAATGAGGCTTCCTCACTCATGTACAGGGTTCTGTGAATGTGGCAAGGTCAAATGCACACCTGAAGGAGTGAAGAAAGTTTGTCCCTGCCGTTTTGCTGATGATTCACACCTCTCGGTTGCTGAAAGCGTGTCGTGTGCGGAAATGCCACTTGTTGGTCCAAAAGCTTGGTTGTCTGCATGGAGCCATGTTTTGCACATCTATGCAAGGACGCTGGTTGCAAGGATCACAATCTAAAGTTGAAAGTTTTCATGTCCGGAGCTGTCTCTCTATATCTGGACTCTGGACCATCGAAACCAGCAAGTTGAGGCTATCTTACTTATATAAATTGACGGGGCTTAGGAGCAGCCAAACCAAACAGACAAATTTAAGACGTGCCAGGCACTTTGACACTTGCGGGGAAGTCAAAGTATCAAACAAAAATAGCATGCTACGAAACAGCCGAGGTAACCCGAAACTGTACCAAAAACAGGCCAGAACAATGAGCGAACATGCTGCAGGGTAAAGCTGCATGAGGTTTGCAAAGGTTCCAGAAGGGATCTTCTGTGTGGAAAAACCAAAGACTTGAGAGCAAGAGAAGGCAAGGAAGTGACTTTGGGATTTGATTACACTAGTATACAGTATACAGCATATAATACTGTAAGTCATATAAGGCTATGTGAGGCGAGGTTATCAAAAAAAGATATTGATATTGTGAGATGAGAGCTAAAGTCACTAGAGTAAAACAAACAAGGTGGTCTGACGTGACATATGCGAGGCACGTTCTGAAGTTGAAACTTGTAACTACGCAGGCTGGATGCAATAGGACTGTGCAAGCCACCGTGGCTCCACAAAGTGCAAAGTAAGGTGCAGCTCCATGAAAAGACCATCCAACGTCAGGAAACATGGAAGAAGCTACCAAGCATTCTAGTCATCACAGAACCGAAAGGAACATCAGCAACCAAGCAGACAACCAACAGAAGGCACAAAACAAACGGATGGATGCAACGTGCTTGCCCAGCTCTTTTGCGCGCGTTGCTGCCGACTGCTCGTCTTGCTTCTGTAAACTAGAAAGTCATATGAGTGTGTGAGCCTGCCAATTCAACGTTGTGGAGCCTGCTTCAATCATTGGTTGCATCAATCAGCTCTTCGACTCGGAATGTCTCCGAATGTCAGAATGACTTTGCCGACGGCTCGTCGACTCTTTTGTCTTTCAAGGGCGAGTTCAATAGAACCTGGCTGTGTCAGATCGTGCACAGAGTCAATGGCTACTTTGTTCAGAGCGGACTCGAAGAATCGGTTCAGTCTCAGGATCAAGGGCTTGGAGGGAGATAAAAGGAACCAATCGTATCCTTTTCGCTGCACACGGACATTGAAAATGCGAGTAAACATGTCAGCACCTGCTCTAAGTTGATCCATAAAGTCCGGACACGGTCCAATTGCAACGTACGTCCCATGGGCCTTGAGTGTTGGCCTCAGGACTGGCTCGTAGTTCGGATCCTCTGGAGCATTGCTGGACACGGTGTCATAGATCATGTCAAAACGTTGGCCAATCGAAATCAACGAGTCCATGTCAACCTGACTCTTGTAATCCACAACAGTAACGCTCGAGTACAACTGCTTTACAAAGTCTGTGTTTCGGCTCCCACATATGCCAGTAACATTTGCTCCCATCGCACCCGCCAGGCTAACTCCAAATTGACCGCAGCCACCTGATGCTCCCACCACAAGAACTTGCTGTCCAGGTTGAATCGGATTTCGCTCATAGGCCTGCATGGAGGTCAGACCTGCAACCCCCAATCCAGCTGCTTCCCCATATGTCAGCCGGCCGGGTACAGGGACAGTCCAATGGCATGGCAGAACTGCATACTCTCCAGCCACACCAATCGACATACCCCACACATCGTCTCCTACTTTCACATCGCACGCGCTTGATTTGCCAACTGACAATACCACTCCAGATACATCGTACCCAACTGGCCACTGTCTCAAATGTCTCAAGAATGGCCAAGCAGCTGGAATCATGGGATGTTTGAAATTAGATGGGTTCACTGAAACTGCTTTCACGCGGATCAGCATTGACAAATCTGAATGATGAGGGACTGGAACTTCGGCCGTTTCCCAGCCAACATTGTAGCCATTCAGTGTGTATATTGCGGCGCGCATCGAAGAATGCCCTGTGATGGCAGCCGAATCATATGTCAAACTTGTCAAGTGCCACGTAGAACCTCTAAGCGCATCGAAGCTTGCCACCAACCCGGCCGCTAGCACAGCAAAGCAAGACAAACAAACAAGCCTGTTGTAGCAACAACACAAGGTTGCCAGAAGCACAGAAGACTCCACTACGGCCAGGATAATTGGCAACATAGCCACAGCTCAGCCTTGAGAATGCTTGCTGTCAGAATTCAACCTACCATGCTATAGCTTCTTGTCATGATTCTTCCAGAATCCTGATCGCAAAACACATGACCCAAATAGGCAACGAGGAAGCAATGCCTACTATATATGAGATGCCACATGCGTCTTGTTCTGTCAACAGCTGCTCTTGCGCCCAAACTTCTGCCAATATGCATGACGTGGCACTTCGCACAACGGCAAGCGGAGGAGATGCTACTGTACTCCACAACTCGTCCAAAACTCACAGGTACGGTACATCCATGTGTGCTTATCAAAGTGCAAACAAACCCTCATGCAAACCGCGTGTCATTCTTGTAGATCCAAACCAGTGCAAATCAACTAATGCAAATCAAGCACCTTTTAAAGAAAGGAAAGGAAAGGAACTGCACAGGCTGGACCAACAAAATGGGCAACTAGCCGGGACAGCCCCGCTCGGCATTACAATGGGGCAAACGCTCTGATGTTTATGCTTCCCATATGTTGCATTGTCATGGTCTTCTTTCATTGTCTTCGATCATGTATATACAAATGTTGAAATGAAAAAATAGGGTCACCTGACACACATCTTATGTTCCACCGACAGCCTGTCTGTCTTTTTGACTCACACAGAACACGTGCAAGCAGCAACAAGCTGCATGAAACAAGTTTTGTCAAGACAGCTTGCACCAAGTTGAACCTGGAGTCCTGGAGCTTGACCACTTTGGATAGATTTGTGCTACACTTTGGAGAGATTGCTCGGCTTCACTTGAACTGTGCCGTCCTTATTTGCAAACAGGTCCCAAACATGGTTGGGAGTGCAGTACGAAACGACTATATTCAGGCTTGGGTGCACAAGCAAGTTGCAATCGACCTGCTGCTACAAACATTCCCTGCTGCCAGCAGTTCAATCAAGGAAATGAATCAGTGTCTGACTTTGCATCCAACTTGGGCAAATACTGAATACAACTGCTGAACGAGCATCATTGCCATCAAGCTCGATGGCAAATTTTCCAGTGCTTGCCACAAGCGTACGCAAAACTCCGATCTTGCCATTCAGCTTCTCATCATCTAAGCCATGCAACTTTACCTGTCAGCATCCAGTTGGAGCGTTGAACCACTACTCCATAATCGATTCACTATGGTAGGTTTTTCATAGACTTTTTTGTGCAACTGCCATACTTTGGTGATAAGTAGCAGAACCACTTTCGCCTTGTCGCCAGCTCTCAACATCACAGGTTCCTCCGAACTCTCTATCTTTCCTGCTTGGTCTTCCTTCTTCTCTGCTTGGTCTTCCTTCAGACCAAACGGTCTTTGCTTTTCTGCCTATCAACTCCAAGCCAAGCAAAATTGCAAATTACAGAAATTGTGCATGATCAAAACGATCAATCATCAATGTCGATGATCAAAAACTGACAGAGTTGTCATCTGGTGCCAAGGAGGCCTCCTTTTCGATGGCAGAGAAGTCCCACCCATCCTCTGCTTGGACAGTGTCTGTTGGACAACGGCAGGTGAGAAGTCCGATAGAAATTGACACCCCAGGAGTGCAAGTAGTGTTTCTAGCTCAGTTTCTTGCACTCTGCTAGTTCCATCTAGTTCCTGTATGGACAAGATTGAGTGTCCTGTTGTGACTCTTCAGTGTTTTTCAGTGGGAGGCATTCATGCCTTCTCAACATACTACCTCCGAATCTATTTCTTTTTGCAAACGCGCAACGTACTCTTGAAGTCTTCCAACGACTGGATACCTTGCAGTGAAGTGTTTGTACCAGCCAGCGAGCGCAGTGCGCTGCTCATCAGTAAATTGCTCCAGGGTGAAGTCCAACTTGTTGGCCTTGAAGCAATGACTCAGTCTCAGTCTCTCCTAATCAATCACTTGCTTAAAACTCTCCAGGCAAGGCAATCCCTTCTTGTGAAGCGTCAGGGCGCATCTTCCGGCTTCAGTGAGAGGACGGCCAACGCATAGGTGGCATCTTTGCCAGCCCACAGCTTTCCATAGCCTTCTCCAACCTGGTCAGGTTCACGAGTCAGCTCCACGTGTTGTTCCACGTCTTCCCATCAAGATGGTTTAGAATCGTTTCTCACAGGAGGTTCTTCTCCGTTCAGAACCGTTGACTTGGCTCATGTTTACTTCGTGTTTACTTGTTAGTTCTAGTTTCCTTCTACACCTCCCGATGTTCCCCCTTGGAAAAAAATAGAAATCTAAAATATATATATATACACATTATGTGTGTGTATTAATATACATATATATATATATGCATATACATATACATATACATATATATATAGATCATACATGTTAATACTGTCCATTTGGATGATGGATCCATTTGGCAGCCATGCCTTGATGTTCTCACTGGAGGAGACATTGACCTGAGCACGAAAACGCAAACAGGACATGACGTGTCATGGGAGGTTCGTTGGTTTCGACTGTTCTGTACCAGCGCAAAAGTTCTTCAGATTTTATCTCCTTTGGTTTTTTCTTGAAATCACTCGACGGTTGAAGGCGAACACTGTATGTTCATGTACAAGAATCAAGCAACAACTTGGAAGGGCATGACACAACGCATATGTCCTGCCATGGCTGAACAACATACCTACACAGCAGCGCTGTGTCACGCAACGACTTTGGAGCAGACTCAAATCTGCACGCTGTGTGATACAGAAATAAAATACCACAACAGGCACAGCTGCTTTGGAGATAGATTCAGGGGCGTTGTTTGATGATGTTTAATCAGTTTTTGCGACGTTCAAGCAGTAAAACCATTGTAAATTACGAAGTTTGGAAATTGGTGAGTGAAAATGTCACTGTTAGCAACATGTTCAAAACTGCGTAGACATCGGTGCTTTTCAGCCAACCACCTCCACAACATCCAGGGTATGTAGAAAGAGTTGAAGGAACAGTGTCACCGCTATCAGCCACTGTCATTACGTTTGCTAAATTTCTTCAAGCATCCACCTTCCCACAAACTCCCATGAAGATCGGTCCAGTCTGTCCGTTGAACAGGCCGAGCAGGTCCAGGTTAAAAATGCCATCCTTTGCTTGACAAACAGAACAAGCTCTGATCACCGTGCAAAAGAGGCAGAATCACAACAAAATGATACAAAATGGCTGGAAGGCAAAATCCAGAAGCTGGTGGCAAAAGTGCTTGCTTTGATCGCTTTCGCTTCTGGAAAACATAGAAAAGAAGCACGAACAGCAAGCCCAGGAGAGATGTACTGGCCAGTAGAATTGGATTTCGGCCACCTCAAAAAACTCCAATCAAGTCTCACTGCACCTGTCTCTTTCCTTATGCCTCGAGCAAAGGACAAAAATGCTCTGAAAGTGGGTGGCTTCGCGGTTTCACACTGTCCGAGTATGGAGAAAAAGTGAAAGTAAGTCACAAGCCCATTGCACTTCCAGCTGAGTCCATTCCTCAAAACAAGAAGAAATAAAGTTAAAGCTGGTCTAAGCGGGTGAGGTTGTAGTGCTCTGGCATCTGTGTCATTGAAGGAAGGCTAATGCATTCAAAATTCAAACCAGACTTTGGAGCTGCTTGCTGCAGCATTGAAACCAAACTCTGAATTGGGAATATGGAAGAACCTTAAACTAAATAACTAAGAACTGCTGTGACAGCTCTGTGTGTGGTGTTATCTTCAGCTCGCCCCTTGGACTTGGCACTGAGCCAAAACTGCCAGCGCTGAAAAATCTGAAAGAGCAAAGCCGAAGCAGGCCGAGCGGCATGTGTCGCTTGCCGTGAAAAGCACATCGAGTCGCCTCCGCAAGATGACCTGGAAAGTAAATCCTGAAACACTTTTCCTAGTAGCTACTTGCTCCTAGTAGTACGGCCAGGAGCCCCTAGTAGCGTCCTTGCTCCTAGTAGCGATGCCAGGAGCCCCTAGTAGCGTCCTTGCTCCTAGTAGCGATGCCAGGAGCCCCTAGTAGCTTCTTGTTCCTAGTAATTTGCCTGTTTTTTCCGCATCGCAAAAACTTCCAAAGGTGTGTCCAAGGCGAAGGAGAAAAAGGAAAGGCGCGGCCCGCTGCTTGGCACTTTTTCGACGCTGCGGAGCTTCCTGGTTTGCCATCTCCGCTCTCCAGCCTAGTCTCAATGGCGAATGCACCACGTCCGAGTCGTTTTCAGGTGTTCTCACAGACCAGTGGCTTGGTAGATGGGAACTCATGGAGACTCAGTCTTTAGGCGTGCCGACTACCTTGAACTCTCCTATCAACCTGCCAATATCGCGCCGAGTGACGCTGGCGTTCTTCGTCAAAAGCTTGAAAGCGGTCGCAAGCCTTCACACTGGCTGCATGATGGCTGATCGCTTGCTGCAAGCGCTTGCTGCAAGCGCTCGGCTTTTTCTGGGCAACACAACCCTCAGGCCTGCTTCAGACTGGCTTCCATTTCAGCCAGTCTCTCATCGGCTTCATGTGCCAAGGGAGCAGACCTCAACCCAACTAACATTGGGACCTAATTAAATGCTACTAGCGGCAAGTAGCTACTAGGAACAAGAAGCTACTAGGGGCTCCTGGCATCGCTACTAGGAGCAAGGACGCTACTAGGGCTCCTGGCCGTACTACTAGGAGCAAGTAGCTACGAGTAACAAGAAGCTACTAGGGGCTCCTGGCATCGCTACTAGGAGCAAGGACGCTACTAGGGGCTCCTGGCCTACTAGGAGCAAGTAGCTACGAGTAACAAGAAGCTACTAGGGGCTCCTGGCATCGCTACTAGGAGCAAGGACGCTACTAGGGGCTCCTGGCCTACTAGGAGCAAGTAGCTACTAGTAGGAAAAGTGTTTCAGGTGTTTTGTGTCCAAATGGCCCACAACGAGCCCCAGATTTGTCATCCCACATATAAAATAGCAGTCAAAACAGTTCTCCCCTTTACCTGCTCTTCAAAGAACTGCAAGTCTCAACACATCCGAAAATACTGATTTCAGCTAAGGCACAAAGTTTGTAAATCCAGGGAGTCGCGCCTTGTTGCAATCTCCAGTTTGAGACAACTTATACCCTTGGAACCTAGAACCACATCAAAGTAATAATTGAGGCACTGACAACAATTTCACATTCATTTGGGCATTGTCCAAATCTTGCTCCAGCTCCAGAACGCGGCTTTTCAGCTGTTCATTCCTTGTCAGCATCCATGTGTACTGTGTTTTGTCCGTTTGATGAACTTCTCTGGGCAACTGACCCAAGTACACGATCAATCTAAATTCTAGCATTGACAGAAGAAAAACATGAAAAAAAAGAAGAAAGGCCAATGAAAAGAGTGAGAAAAAGCAAAGCAGGTTAGCTTTCAACAAATATATATATATATATGTATATCCAGTATCTCTGATCAACTCGATTCAGCCAAGAAGCTCCAGCTCAAGCTCTGAAACTCGTGCAGCCAAGTCCTCACTTGGCATTCCACTCCAGGCAGTCAAAGTCTTCAAGTTAAAACCAAAACCACACGATCTCACGCCTTCGACGGCGGTTCAGAGTCCTTGCAAAGCATGGGCAGCGTGGCATGGGCAGCGTGGATGAATGAGTTGCTTTGCAAATTCTGGACCAGGCCTCCAGGAGTTCTGCAGCCAGGCGTTTGAGCTTGACCTGGAAAAGTCATTAGGTTGAAGATCAGCTTAAGCAATCGCAATCAAAACGATCACGTCCGCCATAACAGCGGCAAAGACAAATGACGCTATGTGTCAAAACGGTGCAGGCCTCCGCTGTATGTGACGGAGAACCAGGCAACACAAAGCCAGAAGTTTCCAAGCTCTCAGCCTGAGCGCAGGCCCGTGAACCAAGCAATTTTAAGCGTTCAAGAATCTAGGGAGGGGAATTCATTTAAAACGTTCTTTAATTTCTTGGTATGTCTCTTTAGGTCGGGTGAAGCGGGCATCAACGGACTTTCAGGTAATGAAATTAAGCACAGTAAAAGGCTAATCAATGGAAATATACTGTGTGAAATTAGAATATGCATTTGCTAGAAAATGTCAGGAATGAAAGGATTTACTGATTTACTCTAGACTCTAAAGGAAGTGCACTTATTTTGAAGGAAAACGTACGCATTTTACAAGAACATGCAGGGAACATGAAGGACAAAGAAAAGTAGTTTTATTATAAGGTTCTATTAAAGCAATGAAAAAAGAATGAGAGGAGTCTAAACGGAAATGCAAATATCTAGGAAAAGCATGAATTAAGAATCAAAGGATTTAGAAAGTGATCCATACAGAAAATATGCAAGGCCTTTTGAAAGAAATCACAGAAAAGCATGTTTGATTTTGAAAGGAAAATGAAAGGAAAATGACAAGAAAGTGAAAAGATTCTGAACAAGTTTAATAGAGCTAGAGAAAAGATTGCTTCCTTGAGGCCAGTAGGAAAGTCTCGAGATGTCATAAAGTCTGAAAGCGAACACATACAGTTCTGTCAGAAATGTAGAGCTATAGAGATCTTGTCATCTTGTCTATATATACACATTTCGATGGAAGTAGAGCTTAACTACTGTGTCTGTCCAGTGATAGGAAAAAGACTCTTGCTTATTCAACTTCCAACACTGCAGGAGCCATAAAGACAGTGCCATGGAAGATTGCGAGCATGTGCGAGGCGATACTATCATCCAATGTTGTGGGGCTTTGCAAATGTGGTACATGTTAGTCACTGTTGGGCTTGGAAGTAGTTGCATAGGATATCGTTTCTTGAGCCAGCCTGGTTTGCCTTTGATGCTTTTTGGTCCCGAAAGGAGGTGAATCAAACAAATAAGAAAAATTGAAAGGACTTGTGACTTGTACAAACAAAAACAAAGAAAAACTGAAAGGTATGAAGAAATGGAAGGAATATGACGGATTCCGGACAATGAAAAGGGTTCTAAAGCAAGGCCATAAAGAAATGTAAGGGATTCAAGGCAACGGGCTTTGAAGGCTGCATCCCGCAGAAGCAAAAGTCGTATGCATGTATTTGCTAGCGGGCTCAGAACCGCGCTAGTAGTCGTGCACTTTTTATAAAAGCACCCATAATGTCTCTGATGTTGTGAAGTTGGCACCTTTGCTTTTTTACTGTAAATAAGAGCGTTCTCTGATGTTCCTCCATAGCAACATCTTATTGCATTGCATGTGTTCACGCTGCCTTTGTTGTTCTTTGCTGAAGTTCCATTCTGCTTCGGATTTTTGTGCTCATTCTTCGGGAATGTCCATATTTTGCCACTGAAGAATCTAATCGACATGTTCCGCCTTATCTAATGTTTCATTTCACGCAATCTTCTCTCATCCTGCGTATCACCTGCATCTTTGTCCTTTGGGTGGGGGGGTGGAGGGGTGGCCACCGTCCGGTGCATCGATAGTGCCATCTCCAGCAACCATGTAAGGGGTAAGGATGTATGCGTTCTGTGATGGCCCCCCATCCACTTTGTTTCATTTTGCCAAATGCTCTTGACATCGTTTTCCTGACTATGCTCTCTTGGATACTGTTTGTTGGAGGTGGGAAAACAGCGGCAAGGATTTGATGCTTTGTACAGGACACGCAGTTCCAAACCTTGTTGGACGCTGAAGCTCTCTTGCAAGAAAAATAGGCTGATCTTCAAATGTCCCAGAACTATGCTTGGCTAGGATTTTTGAAATGTGCCGCGAAATAGCAAAATGCCCTTGAACTGTCCCAAAAAAAAATGCATGTTTAAGGGACGAATTTGGATTCTGGATGAAAATGCATAGTTCGCCGCAGCCAAACACAAAATTGAAGTGAAACACATTGTAAATGAGACGTGCAAGGCGCTTTTTTTGGGAAGTCGAACGCTCCGAAACGCAGGTTTTAAGACATCCTTTAACCCACCAGTTCAAGATTGACGACATTAATCTAAAAATATTTCTTGTAAAAACGCAGGCGCAGTTGTCAGCCCGGCGGGATGTATTTGCAAAGAAATGGACGGCTGCTTTTCTTTGTTGGCTTGGCTGCTTTTTGCTACGAACAAGGCTGGAGAGATTGGAGGGAGTGCAGCGCCGCAGCGCCCCCCCCAGAAGCACAAAAGCAAAGAGGATAGTTACAACAGTACATAACTTGGCAGCCGACCTGCAGCAAAAGCACAAACACAATTGCAAGAGCCACCAAAAACTAAAAGCCCAAAGCCACCAAAAGCCAGAAACCAAAAGAAACTGTAAAACATATTAAACATATTATCAATAAAACCCTGAAATCATCGCCCTACAACTTTACTGGGAAAGGATGTGGCCAATACTGCCAATTGTGATCTGTTACTCAGGCGATCGCCTGCAGCAGGCTCGTGAGCGACGGTTGACCGCCGGCAAGTCGAGCTATTGCCGCAGGTGTCTTCCCCTGCCTCGGTCGGTCCGACGGGATCCGGGCATCCGATCGGCCACCGTCTCTGAGGCCATGGCCGATCACGGGCAAAGAGATCCGACCCACGGCTGACCAAAAGCAGCACTGCTTTGGCCTGATATAGTTACAAATGACCATGACAAACCCAAGTGTAACTTCAACATACTTCAACTCTAGACGGTCTGGCAAACAAGTAAATTGTTTAGCCATACATGCTTTGCTTGAACAGCCCTGATTCAAACATGCTGACCTTCCGAACATCACACCCTTCAAGCGCTGCAGTGGCAGCTGCGATGTGCAAAGGCGTGACCTTGGCGAAAAA